TATGTGGAGTAGAGATTAAATAATGCGACAGAGTTGAATAACAGATAATGAATCAGAAGCCTAAACCCTTTCTATAGAAGGCGCAACACAGAAATGCAGTGGCTTGGGCGGCACTATGGAGCAAGAAGGTATGCTTCTGGCCTGACCTTTAGACTCTTGCTCTTTTACTATACACACTGCCTGGCATGAGACAGGAGAACACATTTCTAAAATAAATTGCTAATAGATATGTCTAAATTTTTGATCCTTGTTATGCAAACCATAGCTGCACAGGATAGTAAGCCTCTATTCTAACCTAAAATCCGAAGCAATTGCTAAATTTGATGAGCACTTGCTGTGTGTCAGGCAATACTGGGCACGCATTGCCTCATTGAATTCTCAAAACAACCCATGCTTTGGCTGCTTCTGTTACTCCTAATTTGCCCAGGATGACACAGAAGGGCAGAGATGATACCCAGCTCTCCCATGGTTACACAGCCTAATGTGGAGGAACTGGGTTTCAAAGGTGGACCAGATTGACTCCCAGAGCCCAAGGGGTGAGGCTTTTCACTAGTGAATATGGAAAGGGTGCACCATGGCCATAAGGTATATGTTTCCTTAACCTTTTATTATGGGAAATTCCAAACATAAAGAACAGAGAATAGTATAATGAATTGCTATATACCTTTCCTGCAGTTTTGGTCAGGGCACAGGCAATTTTTTTTTAAGCCAGAATCTCACTCTGTCACTCAGGCTGGAGTGCAATGGCACCATCTCAGCTCACTGCAGCCTCCACCTCCTGGGTCCAAGTGATTCTCCTGTCTCAGCCTCCCCAGTAGATGGGATTACAGGTGCACACTACCATGCCCAGCTAATTTTTTAAATGTTTTTATTTTTAGTAGAGATGGGGTTTCACCATGTTGGCCAGGTTGGTCTGAAACTTCTGGCTTCAAGTGATCTGCCTGCCTTGCCCTCCTGAAGTTCTGGAATTACAGACATGAGCCACCACGCCCAGCTGCACAGGTGATTTTAAGCCAACTCAGGAGCACTTCGTGTAAAGCTTGAGGTAAGAGGGGTGCCTACATCAGTGTGCGTCTCAGGCTGCAGCACTTGATCCTAGGCTTGAGTCTGTCACTTAAACTTGGACTTAACTTGCTTAAGTTAAAGAGACCCAATACTAAAATAGAATGGAGCGAACCCTGCTGGCAATTAGGAAAGCTTTAAAATTTCAACCCATACTTTCTTCTATACCAGTTATTTAAAAACACTCTTCAGACAGAATGATGGAGAGGCCAGACTTATCTATAGCAGGGGTGTCCAATCTTTTGGCTTCCCTGGGCCACACTGGAAGAATTGTCTTGGGCCACACATAAAATACACTAACACTAATGATAGCTGATGAGCTAAAAAAAAAAAAAAAAAGAACCTCATCATGTTTTAAGAAAGTTTACAAATTTGTCTTAGGCCCCATTCAAAGCCATCCTGGGCCACATGCGGCACTTGGGCCAGGGGTTGGACAAGTGTGATCTGTAGTTTGCTTTGTTTCTTTAATCTAATTTGTAGCTCCTGAATTTTACTATGCATAAAGTATAGTCTTCATTAGAAATATTAAACATTTTAAATTGTTTTAAGCAATACCTTTAAAAATCCTTATTAGGTAACAAATATTTCTTAAACAAGATTAATTTCTCTAGACCTTGTAAGATAGGAACTAAAGACAATGAGGAGAAAGAATTGGGATCTCAACAGAGTCCATGAGAACAATGGATCTGTCTGGAAATCTTGACAGCTGGAGCCTTTCATTTGCATAACACTGTTTCTTAATTTAATTTTTTCAAGTAGATGAAAGGCTTACGAAATTCATTGGGCTAATAACCCTGGAGATTTGAGTCATTCAGCTGGGAAACAGTAACTCAAGGCAGGTTGGGTTTCTTGTGGCAGTCAGGGTTTGGGGGGCATCTGGTTCCATTACACTGCTAGAGCTCTTCCACCTAAGAAATTATGTGCCTTGGGTTTTATTATGTGCTACTGAGGTCCCTAGAGAGGGTAATGGGCATACTTTTGGGGTCCTTGAAGCAAATAATTTTCTAAAGTGTTAGTTTTTAGAGAGAAAGAAGAAAATAATTTTAGAAGGAATCCACCGTAATCACCCTGGTCAAAGTCATGGTCATCATCTGTAGCCTGGTTTGCCTTGCTTCTGCTTTTGTTCCCTTGCAATTTTGACTCAACAGAGAAACCAAAGAGATCCTTTTGAAACAAAAGTCATATCATGTCAATCTGTTTCCTCAAAACCCTCCTAATAGTTTCCTATTTTGTTCAGAGTGGAAGTCCCTGTGATTACCTGGCTCCCTCCACAACATGTGAGGCATCACCCCCAGCTACTCTCTCCTCTCCACTCTGCTCCAGCCACAGTGGCTTCTTTCCTGTTCTATGGACATGCCAAGCATGTGCTCCCCCAGTGACTTTGCACTTCTGCCCAAAACACTCCTCTGTCAGATATCAATATGCGTAGCTCTTAAGGTCTCTGTACAAATATGAGATTCTATGCTACGTAAAGTAGCACCCTGCCAGGTGCAGCAGCTCATGCCTGCAATCCCAGCTCCTCAGGAGGTTCAGACAGGAGGATCACTTGAACCCTGGAGTTTGAGACCAGCCTGGGCAATGTAGTGAGACTCCACCTCTTAAATAAATAAATAAATAAGCACCTTGTTTACCACTTCAACACCTTCTATCTCCCTGATCCCATTTTACTTTCTCTGCAGCACTTATTACCATCTGTCATGTGAGATATTTCCTTGCCTGTTGTCTCCCTAGACTGGATACTCTGCAAGGGCAGAGGTGGGGTTTTGTTCACTGCAATATCTCCAGCTACTCAAACAGTGCTTGGCACTATTCACAGTCAGCGTATGTTGGATGAAAGAATGACGTTAATAATGATGTTATATGATGTTAGTAGTGATAATGAAGAAGCCAGCTCATGGCACATATGTGCCAGGCACTGTTCTAATTGTGTTGCATCCATTAACTCATGCCATCTCCACAATGGCCCTATATTGAGGTACTGCTATTCGCATATCATGGGTAGGGACACTGAGACACAACGGGTAAGGTATTTGGTTAAGATCACATGATAAACAATTAAATAAATTAGCAAGTTGGAAAGGGTCTTTGAGATGCTTAACTAACAGCTTTCCTTTAACTTACAGATGGGGAAACCATGTCCAGGTGAGTTGCTAGTGAAAAGAATGGCAGCTGGGATCTCCACTTGATGTATCTTTCCTGGGCCTCTGTCAGCTGCAGAACCACCAAAGCCCACCTCTTTTAAATGCTATCACCACCCTGTCTTTATACAACCAGCAACCCATAGAGTTTGGCAGAGTATACAATAAGCACTCAACAAATACACTGTGGATAAAAAGAAGAATGAGAGACTATAGTTTTTGGAAGCCAAGAAACTCTTCTCAGATGAGTAGCAGGCTTGGCAATGCAGTCAAACCCACTTTTCTAGGGCCTGAGACTTCTATCTGAGATAACCCTCCACAAAGTACTCTCCAGGGGCCTTAGTGCTATGTTTGTGAGTGCTCAGCGTTGGGGTGACTTCCCCAGGCAGGGGGGCAGGGATTCTAGCACGCAACCTGTACTAAGGGCCAACTGGCATGCAGCTTTATATGTAAAAATATTCCACTATTCACCCACCTTTTCCACAGTAAGGCCATCTCTGGGAACAAAGACTGATGCACAGTTTACCCTGATTTCACTGGACTCAAAATGCATGTGTGTATGAGTATGTAGGGGCTGTGTTGGTGGGTGTCAGAGGATGTGTGAGTGGGTATCAGCAGGTGTGCTGTATGTGGGGAGACAGGAAGTGAAGGGAGGGCTCCACACATACAATCACCTCTAGATACTCCCAGTCCTTGTGTGATGGCCTTGTCTCCTCTCTCCTTGCCTGAACTCCTCTGTATGTCGATTAATAAAACACTCCTCTCTTCTCCCCAAAATCTTCATGTCAATTTTTCATCAGAACGACACTGAAGAAGTGCTTGTGTACATATGGTATAGAGTGAAATGTCATAACTACAGTTAAACAAAGAAACCCAGCCCCTTCCCATTCTTCCTGGTGTCCTGGGTTTTACAAAGCAAAGAAGCCTCCCAACACCATCTTTGTGGCCTTGAACCAAGTGCTCACAATTCAGCAGCACCAAGGGCCACATGAGCATATCGGGCAGGTGAGCTGGCTGTTGCTGGGTGTGGCTGCCAGTCAGCAGGATTCCTAGGGAGCAGCTGCTGATGGCCAGCTCTTGCTAGGTCACAATGTGAGACAGAGTGGTGGGTGCACTTCCCACCATGGTCACTCCCATGAAGAGTTTGGGGATCATCACTCTGAGCTGTTGCATTTGCCTTCAATTACTGGGATGTGGAGAGGATGCTTTACTGGTGATAAAATAACTCTTCTTCCCTCCCCTCCCAGATCTCACCCAGTACAAGAATGAGAGCCTCAGGCTTCCTTCGACACCCTATTTTCAAGTCCAGGCAGAAGGTCACAGCTGCAGCTCTGCATGTGTTCATCTTGCTCTCGTAAGTTTATGTTTAAACATCCTGCCAGTTTTTAACTGTGGGATTCACTTAGCCATAGGTTCACTACTTGTATATTGTTATCTCTAATCAAGTCTTTTAAACTGAAGTATATCCTTTGAATTTAAAGACTTAAACTTTATAACAAGAATTTATTAGGAATACTGTGGTAAGAGCTCTAGGTGCATTATCTCTTTTCATTTGCCCTCATTTTACAGATGGGGAAACTGAGGCTCAAGACAGGGAAGTCATGTCTGAGATCACCAGCAGATGAAGCCGAGACTAGAAGGTGAGGCGGTCTCTCTCCACAGCCTGCACCTTCAACCATGGACTACTTTCATTACCACTCATCACTGTGTTACTATGCTTACATTTTAAGAGAAGTCTAGTTTTAAGAATGCTTAGGTTCTTTGTGTAACAGATGAAGCCGCCCACGGCATCTCACTTACAGCTAAGTGGAGTGGACTCTTGGTAGCACCAGAATCTGATTCTTCAAATCCACTGTTTGTTCTCTCCAAAAGCTGTGGAGACAAAAAGCAAACAACAGTACTTGAGTCCAAATCTTGCAAAATGTTGGCATAAATGAGAAAACAGGTTTCAGAAACTTGGGAAGTTATGTAATTTATCAGTAATATAAAAATCTGATATAACATATCTAAAACAATATCCTAACAGAATATTTAAACTTCTAGATCACCTCAGCACTTGAATTCAGAAAAATAATTCATGTTATAGCCATGTTCTCTTAGCAAATCGATAATAACGTAAAAAAAAAAAAGACCCAGTATTAATGCTATTATCAGACACACATTTACTGCAGATAGTGTGGATAGTGTTGAAAAAGATAAGCTCCTGCTCTCATGAAGCTTACATTTTAGAAAAACGAAGCATAGATAAATAAATATACACATAAGAAAACATTTGGAAGTGATTCATGCTGTAATGAGACTAAAACACAGGGATGTGATATGGAGTGACTGACAGGCTAGTTTATAGCGGATGGTGAGGCAAGGCCTTCTCCAAGGAAGAGACACTTTAAGTGAATCCTAAATAAGAAGAAGAATTAAGCCAGATAAAGGAGTGGCCGGAGAGTATTTGGGAAGAGGAAATAGTCAACGATATGCATCAAGAGAGGACAAACATGGTAAGATCAAGGAATGGAAAGACCAGTGTGACTGGGGCGTGGAGTTAGTGAGGGTGGCAGGAAATGACATTCTCACAGACCCTTGGTGGGAGAACAAATTGTTAAAACCTTTCTGGTTCCCTAGCAAGCAGACTCAGAGAGGGAAAAAACCTTCTCGGCAATTTGTGCATAGCTTTTTACTCTTGGGTTTCATTCCTAATAATCAGACGAGTGCACAATGGTACATATGTAAGAAAACTGATTCATACAACAAATACTCAGTGAATGATTACCATGTGCCCCGACACTGTTCCCTGTACTGATAATTCAATAATGAGCCAAGTACTAAAAATCCATGCACTGATATTCCTATAATAAACCAAGTATTAAAAATCTATTTTCCTATTGAGGAAGGGACATACAATAAAAGAAAGAAGTTATATAGTTTATTAGAAAGTGCAGCCAGACGTGGTGGCTCACACCTGTAATCCCAGCACTTTGGGAGGTTGAGGCGGGAGGATCACGAGGTCAAGAGATCAAGACCATCGTGGCTAACATGGTGAAACCCCGTCTCCACTAAAAATACAAAAATTAGCTGGGTGTGGTGGTGCGTGCCTGTAATCCCAGCTACTTAGGAGGCTGAGGCAGAAGAATCGCTTGAACCAAGGAGTTGGAGGTTGCAGCGGAGCCAAGATCGTGCCACTGCACTCCAGCCTGGCAACAGAGCAAGACTCGTCAAGCAAGCAAGCAAGCAAGCACGCAAGAGCAAGGTGCTATGGCAGAGAAGGAAGGTTCAAAGAGCTCGAGGGGAGATTAGTTTGTCACTTTATATAGGATGATTAGGGAAAGCCCCACTGAGCAGGTGATGGCCAAATAAAGTCTTAAGGGAGATGAGGGAGCCTTGTGAATATCTGGGAGAGGAGCATTCTAAGCAGAGGGGTCAGGAGCTGCCAAGACGCTTACAGACAGGTGTGCTTATAAGGAGGCTGGAGCCACGTGAGCGAGGGTGAGAATGGCAGGACAGAAATCAGAGAGATGGTGGCTGTGGGGGTGGGTGTCAAAGAGAGCCTTGTGGGTTGTTGTCAGAATTTTGACTTTTATCCCGAGTGAGGTGGAAATTCAGTGGAGTGTTCTGAGCAGAGGAGGGACATGATCTGTTAGGCTCTAAGGAGACAAAGGTGGGAGCACAGAGACCATTTAGGAGTTGGGGCAATAGTCCAAGAGAAAATAACAGTGGCTTGGACCAGCAAGAAGCAGTGGAGATGGGAGAAACAGTTGGATTGTGGATATTTTTGAAGGTAAAATCAATGAAGATAAGATAAAGAGAGAAGACAAGGATGACGCCAAGTTTTTGTCCTAAGCAAATGGAAGGATAAAGGTACCATGACCTGAGATGAAGGCTGTGAGTGGGATATATTAGTGGAAATGAGCAGAAGTTCAGTTTTAGACCTGTGAAGTTTGAGATGTTTATAAAGCATCTAAAAGTACAACTTGGCAGGTGTCGTGGCTCATGTCTATAATCCCAGCACTTTGGGAGACTTGACGTGGGAGAATCACTTGAGCTCAGGAGTTCCAGACCAGGCTGGGCAAGATGGCGAAGCCCCGTCTTTACAAAAAATACAAAAATTAACCAAGTATGGCAGTGCACGCCCGTAGTCCCAGCTTCTGAGGTGGACGGATGGCTTGAGTCCAGAAGGTGGAGGTTTCAGTGAGCTGAGATTGTACCACTGCATTCTGGCCTGGGCAACAGAGCCAGAGCCTGTCTTAATGAAAAAATACATCTTATCCAGAAAGTTGCTGGATACATGGGTTTGGAGTTCAGGGTATTTAAAGCCATAAGATTGGATGAGATGAACAAAGGAGTACACAAAGAAGAGAGGGGGTCCCAGGACTAAGAGGCACCCACCTCTAAGAGATGAAGAGATGAGGAGGAACCAATAGGAAGACTCAGAGTGAGCAGGGGAGCTAAAAGGAAAACAAGGAGAGCATGAGGTTCTGGAACCAAGTAAAGAAGGTGTTTTATGAAGAGAATGAGCAGTCACGTCAAGTGTCATGACAGATCAAGGAAAATAAGGCCTGAGAAGTTTTTTTTTTTTTTAAAGAGACAGGGTCTCACTCTGTCACCCAGGCTGGAGCGCAGTGGTATGATATCGGCCCACTGCAGCTTCAACCTCCCAGGCCCAAGGGATTCTCCCACTCTGCCTCCCGAGTAACTGGGACTAATACCTGGCTAATTTAAAAAAAAAAAATTTTTTTTTTTTAGAGAGAGGGTTTCACTAAGTTGCTCAGGCTGGTCTCAAACTCTTGCACGCAAGCAATCCTGCCACACTGGCCTCCCAAATTGCTGAGATTACACAGGTGTAAGCCAGGCCTGAGAACTGATCTCTGAGTTTAACAAGAGGCCTAAGAACTGTCTACTGTGATCACTGAGATTAGCAACATGAGGACTGAGAACTGACCATTGTGTTTAGCAAAACAGAGGGGGCTATTAGTGACTCTGATAAGAGCCATTTATTAAGACATTGTTTATGTGAAAAAACAGAAAAAATAATAACTGGCAATAGTAATATGTTAAATAAATTATAGTGGTATATATTACCCTTCCAGATAAATTGTTCCCCTTTATCTTGCTTTGAAACTCTTTTTTATTTTTTTAAATAGAGACAGGGTCTCACTCTGCCACCCTGGCTGGAGTGTGGTGGTGTGAGCATAGCTCATTGCAGCCTTGAACTCCTGGGCTCAAGCAATCCTCCCACCTTAGCCTCCGGAGTAGCTGGGACTACAGGCACAAGTCACAATATGCCTGACCCTTGAAGCTTTTCTTTCTATAGTGACACATCCAAAAGGAATACAAGTCCAGTATCCAAAGCCTTGATGTGAGCTATGATGGTCATCAATATCCAACTCCAGCTTCCTGACTGGGGGTCCTGGACTGCCCTACACTACAGAGGCTGGACAGCTAAACATCACATTTCCTAGATTCCCTTGAGCTAGAGCTCCAGATTTGATTTCAGCTCTGCCAGTTAGATGCCTAAACTTTTCTTTTTCTTCACTGCCTCTTTGATCAGGTCCTTATTAAAAATAAGGTATCCAAAATTATTTGATCTTTATGGAATAAACATTTAAAAGCTTATGCAGCAGGATTATTTTCCTCTGTGGTGGCTTTCTTTTCTGCTGGCTTCTTTTAAGCTGCTGTTTTCTTGGTAGCTGCTGCCTTTTTCCCACCAGAGGTTTCTGCTGCTTCTTAACACCAATAGCCTTTTTTTTCTATCTTTCCTACCACAGGCTTCTTCCTGCAACCCCCTTCTCACCTGATTAAGCCTCTAGTGCTACTGCTGGTGCTGCTGCTGCTACCTTATCCCCCAGAGTTTGTGATTCTTACCCTGGCAAAGAATGGTATCCTGATATATGGTGTTTGCATATGGGTTTAACTTCAACATGATATTCAGATTTTTCAGTGGGTTCTTTCGGACTCTGCAATGAATCTGCTTGCCTGCTGCTTGAAGGGCTCTTTGGATCTCTAGGCTTTACAAGATTTTGCTAACGTCTGTATTGCTCATCTTGTGCATGGAAAGATTATAGTTACTCTTGAGGGAAGCAGCTTTATGCCTAGTGCCACACAATTCATCTAACTTCCAGAAAGCACTTTCAGTCCAGTGCACATCCTACATGCCCACCAGGAGCAGGTTTCAAAATGCTCAGTTTGCTTACATTAAGCAGAGTAATTCCAGGGATGTTTCTGAAGTGCTTCATGAAACCATTATCCTCATTAGAGATGATGCAGGGTATCCTGTGTCAGATACGATGATGGGTTCTAATTTTGTCCTTGCCAGCTCTTACTTGCTGAGAGGCATAGACCTTTTTGATGTCATTCCAGGTTTTAAGTTTCTTATGAAGCAAAACAGCCTACTGGTTCTTCTTGTAGCCTTCAACCACCAAAGGAAGTTCAGGAATTTCCTCAATATAATGACTTTTAGACACGACCAGCATTGGTAAGGCTGAGGCAGCCACAATAGAGCAAATAGCATATCATTTTTGGGTTGCATTCTTTCTACAGTGCCAGTGGCGTCAGGTTTTTGTTGGTGCAAACAAACAGCCTTCACAACCCATATTTCCAAAACCACCCTAGCCAGAACGGTGAGTCCCATGACCTCAGACTCTGGGTATCAGGGCCACAGCTCTGTCAGTACCCTAAAACTTCTCTTCCTGCCATGCCATGTGCTCATTCTCTGAAAGCAGTAGACTCCAAAAAGGGAGAGTTCTCTGGCAAAAATGTCATTTTGCCTGCTGTGTTCAAGCTTCCCTTTGAACCAGATATTGTGAACTTTGTTCACACCAACTTGTACAAAAACAACAAACAGCCCTACACTCCCATGAATTAGCAGGTCATGAGAACAG